TGCAGTGTAACAGACGATATTTCTGATAAATTGCATGAGCGTTAAAATTGTTTCCATTGCCGGCATTGGTGATTTCAACCGATGTGCATTTTGTACGATATTGCAGACCTTGGTCTTGTTTTCGTTGTAATAAAAGTGTTTTTTATTTTATTTTTTATTTTGCACATAAATTTACAATGACATTATCAAATCTCACAATGCCCAGCGATATTTCAGCAGCCGTCATGTTTATTTACATTGGATATTGTAGTTCCGGTCAGTGCTGTAATTAATACGCTAAGAATTGTGTCTCGTGCGGCATGGTAATTAAAGTCCCATCAACGACACAGCTCTCAAAGAGGCTATATAGTGACAATGCCATGCAAATGTAAATATAGTGAAATTAACGATTCCGACATCTTCCAATTTTCCTAAAGATATAAAATGTACTATACTTTATCATGAAATATAAACGTTTATAAAAAATTAAAAGAATTCTGTAGCCATGCGTTGCGTTCTACTAGGTATGACTCTTACAAGCATTTCTGTTTGATCTCTATCTCACCCTCGCTTGTTATGCGCCTGTCAGTACGAGTAACAATTTATTTTATACTGACAGAGTTGTATTCTGAACTGCCTCGATGATATTGCACAGGTACCAGAAACGCATATAGGATGAAGTACAATATCTCTGTGGTTATTGTCGAAGAACTCATATTAAGATGCATATAAAAGTAGTGGATCAACTGTATTTGTATAAAGTTCTCTAACATGAATATGATAACACTAAGCATGTAGAATGACTTCTTTTGCATAATACAGTAGTTGTCAATTAATGATTAAAATTAATGCCAGCAGTTCTGTTAGGTTTGGTTTAGTATTATTGGTTTTAAGTCTTATTTATTCATGTGTATAGGTTGGTGTATTTGCCTCTTTGCGATAGCGCAGATCTGATGCCAATTTGGTTTCTCGGTTGTTAAGAAGTTGATTAAAAGCTTTTAAGACAACTGACCACTCTGAACTGGAATATCAGCACCCTTTTTGTTATTAAGAAGTCGTATAAAGGTTTTAAACATATTTGACCTCAGTGTCCTTGATTATGGTAAAGGTTATTTTTCTAAGTTAATTTACCAAATGCCTCATTATAATTACATTTTCCCTTCAACAAATTCTTAATATTAGGACCTAAGGATCTTTCAGGTCAATTGTTTTACTTTATACAAATTATCCATTATCAAGAAATAGGATTTACCTATAATCCCCAAAAAGACCCCCTCATATGTCCCCAGCATAGCCACACCCTCCCCTTGTACAATGATGTGCCTCCTTGGCTCAAGGATGCTCTAGAAAATTTGTGGTTCAAATCCTATTACCCACACTCAAGAAACATCATTTGATATATTTACCTACATTTCCCCAAATGGCCTCAACCCTCTAACCCTATGGGGCATTTCATTCTTCATTCAATGCTAAATAGTTTCCAAAAGACTGCTTCAAAAAAGGAGTATTATTGTTGAAATATTCCTTTTACTTCCCTAAATTGGCCCCATCCCTCTGCTTCCAGAGGACAATACCCTTCATAACAAAGGGTTGAATCTCATTGGCCAAAGTATTCTCCAGACCAATTTAGGTAAAACAACACTTTTTTCACATTGCAGATGAATGACTTTAAAAATTTACTTGAAATTCCCTTATTGGGCCCTGTTGACCTCTGACCCCAGGAGGGCAGCGCGGGCACATCCATCATTTATACAATACTGATTTCCCTTTTCCAAAGGATGTTCAAGGAGAAGGATCTTAAATATTTGCCTACAATTTCCCTGTTTGACCATTCCCTCTTCCCCCGGAGGGGACACATCTTTCTATATACCCCCGGGTTATATTGGAATCAACTTGTCTGTCGGTCCGTAGACAAAACTTTTCCGGCTATGCATTCGCTCATTTTTCAATAGATTTCTTAAAAATAGTAGTGTAGAGGCAGCACAATATGTAATTGTGCCCCCTAAAATTATTTTGCGTTTCAGACCTTTTTAAGGGAGTATATCCGTTTACGTAAATTAACAAAGCTTTGTCTTGCTATACATTTTCCGAAAGATTTCTTAGAAACTTTTTTGTGTAGATGTAGAATCATATGATGTTTTTTTTGCCCCTGAACAGTTTTTCGCTTCGGACCTTTTTAAGAGATTAATGCCAATTTTCCTAAAGAAATTGTCAAAACTTTGTCGGGCTTTGTATTTGCTCATTTTTCAATAGATTTCTTTGAATCTTTTTGTGTAGAGGCAACACTATGCCGAGGTGTCGACCCTTCCACTTTTGGCCTAATCTTAACGGTTTTAACATGAAAAACGTGTTTTGCCCACCCCGAAAGTAAAAAAAAGCAATGGGATCGAAATTTCAAACCAGAGTACAGACAATGGCATTTCCATTGTCATTATACAATTTACCTGTATGCAGGGGATATACTTGTCATCCCCCTCGGTAACAACTTTTGTTCAAACAATAATGATTCACCTGATCCTGGCAATGCTACACACCAAATAAGGTTAAATTATATTAAGCCATTCTGCACTAGTAGGCTTTTTCGGTGAAAAATAGACAGATGGACAACGGACGGTGCACTACGGCATAAACTCACTTGCCCTTAGACAAGTGAGCTAGCAAGTTTGTCAGTGTCTTAACTTCACTGTATTCTGAAATCCCGAAGGGGTGAACAATCATTTAACATAAATTAAAGTTTTTATTTTTTCTTTAATATCACTATATCAATAAATCAACAAGAGTACCGCGGGGCGGAAC